GCGCGGCCTCGGGGGGCCGGTGGAGTGTGGATCGCGGGGTCTAGGGTGGCTTGTACGCCAAAGCTTCCCTAGCGCCGCGCTGCGCTACCTGAGGCGGCCGAAGATGTAACCGGAGGGGTCGACGGCGGCCCGCGGACTATGCTCGCGCTCCTGGGCGCGGCGACCCTGATGCTGGTCGCTGGAGCGCCATGGGTGTTGCCCGAAGCTGCAGGTCAGAGATAGGGGTCCGCGCGCTGGATCGGGGGCGAGGCGCGAGGCTGAACGGCGGCGGCTTGGGAAACCTGGGCATCTGGAAGCGGGTGGGAGGGACAGACTTCCTCTCTGGTTGTCCGTGGTCACAGCGCTCACACTGAAACCGACTTGGGCTCGAAAATCAAACGGGAGAAAGTGATGTTCAAGATCTTTCCACGCCTCTTGCTTGGGGGCGCCCTCCTCGCCATCCCTCCTGCCCTATGACTGTTCCCGGGGCTCCCACCTCCGCGGGTTCTGGGTGTGCGAGACCCTTAAGTGTCGAGTTTGTTTACTATAAATCCGACAGCTCGCCTGGACTGTTTGATAATAAACAAGCTATGCTGTTGTTCCTCAATTTAGTAGACAGTTACTCCGTCCCACTTGGGAGCGGGATAAGGTTTGCAGGGATTTCTCTGCCTTCAGGAGTCGTGCAGTCTAATAAAAAGTGGTAATAAAAGAAAAATACGCAGCCAAAATACAGAGGTTGGGAGCCACCAGTCTAGTTTGCTGGCTTTCCTAACTTGGCAGAGGTGCATGGGGAATGGCAACTATTATGAGCTTGACTTTGCAGTGAGAAGGGGTACCCAGAGACAAACAGGGCCATGCAATAAGCAGGAATCCAGGGGTTGGTAAGGCCACTTAGTGGCCTTAAATACTTTACTATTTGTTTAGAAAATCATACCCTGGTTTTCTGGGGTACATAGTATCTTGTAAAAAAATAAAACAGCCAGTTAGTTATTTTACCAGCATAGTGGGTTTCTTCCAGAGTAGCAGAGGAATTGCAATTTAGGACAAGAAAGCTATAGGCAAGTACAAGAAGAAAAAAGAACATTACTTTATAGAGAAAAAGGAGGGAGGAAGTTGGGTGGGATGGTTTTGAAAGAAATCAAGAGTTGCGATGGCCGGCCTTTCCCGTCGGCCGGGCTTGTTGCTGGAATAGAATTCTTCGTGTCGGATCTGTAATTGAGGATTACTGAGGCTTCTTGTTGAGCTGCTGGCGCTTCCTGTAATTGATGGTGAGTGGAAGTGCGTGAAGGCTCTGGCCTCTGGCCTGTTGTCTTCATTTCAGAAGTCCAATGCGCTATCTGTTGCACGATGGAGCCACCCTCCTGTCCTCATTTTAAATGAGATTTCCTTTATCCTGTTTCACAAATGTTTTCTCAGACTCTTCCACAAACATGGTATATAGTATAGTATATGGGTACTAGGATCCTGGTGTAACCCCTGGTAATTTCTTTGGAGTCTTTTGTTCATGAAAATTTTGCATTTAACTTACGTTTGCTTTTGCATAAAAAGAATTTCCCCAGAATTTTCATGTAAAATTAACACTCCAGGAGGGTGTTCATTAAGATCATAATTTTAACCTTGATTAGAGGAGAGCTGAAATAAACTTGATACACAACTGGCATTTATTGCCTTCTTAACCGTAGTGCCACACACTATTCTAAATGTTTTAAAGGTATGAACTCATTTAGTTTTCAGAACAAAGCTGGGCACCATTATCCTCATTTTGCAGGTTAGGCAGGCTGAGGCCATACAGCTAGCCACTGGTTTCGGGGGAAATCAAACCCAGGGAATCTGGCCTCAAAGCTCTGGGGGCTAACGCTAGACTTTTTCTAAAGGTCACAATTTAGTTCTTTTTTTTTAAATTTATTATTTGTTTACTTGTGTCTTATTTTCTTGGGGGGAGGTACTTAGGTTTTGTTTTTTAAGTAAGGTACTGGGGATTGAACCCCAGAACTTTATGCATGCCAGGCATGCACCCTACCACTAAGCTATACCCTCCCCCTACAATTTAGTTCTTGATTATCCTATATGTTAAGCTTAGGTATCTTTCAATTAACTAATCTACTTTTTTCTCAAAGGAATAATAATATTCAAAACTAAATGAAATGGTAACTCTAACCTGAGATCATAATGTTGCCCTGTTTTTCAAAGTCATCAGAATATTCATGCTTTTTTAAATGTGTGTGTGTGTGTGTGTGTGTGTTTATGCTTTATTTATTTATTTATTTATTTTCCCCTTAATGGAAGCACTGGGGCTTGAACCCAGGACCTCATGGATGCCAAGTGTACACTCTATCCACCTCCCCTAAAATATTCATACTTTGAAAGCAATTCTGGGATCCTAGTCTAAGAAAACTAAGCTATAGGAGGAAATTTATATTTGTATGGATGTATGTTTTTGGATTTATGTCGTACTTAAAAATATAGTAAATCATTTCTCGTCATCAATATGAATGTGAAAGGTTGGAAACAACCAATTGTATAAATAGAATTATTGAATTAAGTATCCATTTATATATTTTACATGCTAAAAAGGTGAACTAAATTATTGTCAAAGGGATATTGTTAATACTAATGGAACAGAATCCACGACATCTAAGATCCTGTTTAATAATTATTTCCAATGTGTTCATTTATCAGTCGGTTATTTGTTTGTCTCCCAAATGCCAAGGTGCTTCTAACTCCGGAGTTTCCTTACCTTAATAGCAGAAGGATTGCGTCCCTGAGGAATTACCTGGCTCTAACCCAGGCATCAGATTTCTTTGTTCTTTCTCAAGACCCAGAATTACTAGAGTTAGAATATTCTAGGCTAGAGACTACAAATGCCATCAGACCTTTTTGTTAATCCTGTAAACCCAATCACTGTCCTTTGGCTGCATGGGATCTATAAACTTCCAACAACTGAGATGGGAATTAAGTTTAGAGTGGCATAAGGGGAAGTATTCTAGTCAATGATGGAGTCCGAGAATGCGCGCGCAATGCAGAAAGTCAAGGCTAGGGAGGCTCAATGAGCACCTCACCAAATTAAAATAAATAATTTAGAAAATATTTTCTCAGATGTCTCCCTTGTTGACTCCATACGGTAGTATCTCAAACTGGAAAGTAGAGGAAGCAGCCCCCATAAAAGAAAGATCTACACGAGGACCCCTGGTGTGGAAGGTCTGCAGGGAGATAACAGGCTTGCCCTGCTCAGAAAAAGGCTAGAAATGCTGGAGGGAAAAAATAATAAATTTAAAAGCTGGTCTTTTAAAAATTATAATTCATCAAAATCAATCTTTTGTGATATTGAGAAAGTTCCCGTGAACTCAGTATTACTCTGAGGACTCTGAAAAATGTAGATCAAGTATGAAGCTGTGTAGACCCTGCCTTAGGGAACTTGAAATCTGGTTGGAGGTTTGTGTTTAACATAAAGAAGCAATTTTTTAAAAGACATTTTTTTCTTGTTTATTTATTTATATATGTGTTCATTTTACAATGTCATTTTTTAAATTGAAGTATAGGTAATACACAATATTATATGTTATAGGTATAGTATACATTATAGTAATTCACAGTTTTTAAAGGTTATACTCCAGTTAGAGTTATTAGAAGATATTGGCCCTATGTCCCATGGTGTACAATACATCCTTGAAGCTTATTTTTTATACCTGGTAGTTTGTACCTCTTAATCTGTCACCTCCATGTTGCCCCTCCCCCTTCCCTCTCCCCACTGGTAACCACTAGTTCCTTCTCTACATCTGCGAGTGTTTATTTTCTATTATATTCACTAGTTTGTTGTATTTTTTTAGATTCCAAATGTAAGTGATATCTTACACTATTTGCCTTTCTTTTCCTGACTTATTTCACTGACTCCTGGAGTTAAGCTCCACTGGCCTTCAAAACCAGGTGTCCTGGGGTCTCCTCCCAATGCCGGAACCCCGGGCTGGGGAGCCTGACGTGGGGCTGAGAGCTCTCACTCCTGTGGCGGGGGCCTCTGCAACTTAACCGGGGGTATGGGGCCCGCTTATATCCCGAGCACGCCCCTCCCATCATCCCGCTGTGGTCCCCTCTTTATGTTTCCAGTTGAAGAGGATCTTTGTTGCTAGATTCCAGTCTTTGGTTTTTTCAATGGTTGTTTAGCAGTCAGTTGTGGCTTTGTTGTAGTTACAAGGAGAGGCGAGTTCTTGGTCCTACTACTCCGCCGTCTAGACTGGAAATCGCCAAAAAAAAACTTCATTCCGCAAGTTTTGAAAGCCTGCTCAATGTCAGGTACTGGGCTGAGCGCATGTACTTAATGTGAAGTTCAGTGTGCAGATTCATGACGTGGCAGAAAGGAAGAGTAAGGTCAACATGAGTTGCACTATTTGAGGAAGGTTTTCTGTTAGAGAGCGAACTTGGGCTGGATCTTGGAGGATTTGGGTGGTCAGAGAGGAAGAAAAATTCGGATTGGAGGGGCCAACGGGAAAAATCAGAAAAGAGGGCGTCCAACCGGTGGAAGATTTGTGCTAGAAGTATAAGAAATAAAGGGGAAAGGGAAGGGGGAAAGAGATTCATTAGCAGTATGGGACTAACAGATACAACCTACTATACATAAAATAAGCAAGAATATACTGTGTAACACAGGAAACTATACTCAAAATCTTATAATAACCTGCAGTGGAAAATAATCTGAAGTATATATATATCTGAATCACTTTGCTATACACCTGAAACTAACACAGTATTATAAATCAACTATACTTCCGTTAAAAAAAAAAGAAATATAAGAAATAGGTCTTTAGATGGAAGTCCTTAAAAATACAGAAGGGTTCAGACTTGGTATCTTCAGCAGTCAAGATCTTCTCAGATTCCTGTAGGGCTTGGCTGACATGATAAACCTTCATACCTCTACCTCTCGGTTTTATTGTGTAAATATTTGTTTCCTGTGATTGTCTGTCACCTCGCAAACCACATCTGTTCAGTTCTCTCTCAGAGTATATCCCTCTCTGAACAGAGAATGTGAAACCAAATGGAGGCTGTTAAACAGTTGACCCATATATCCTTTATGTCAGTGTCACTTTCAAGACCAAAGAAAAATACTGTTTTCATACAGAGACTTTTTCTAATTAAAACACATGTTTATCTTTACCTTTTTATGATCTATTTTTTTCTGCCTTTATTGAGATATAATTGGCATATAATGTTTGCTTTTTATAGATTAAAAAAACTCTGCCTTTTTCCAACTCTTGAATGCAGAGTTAGAAATAAATTAGCCCCCTCCCCGTGCTGAGAGTAATCACTAGGTTTTTGGGTTTTGTTTTCAGATTTTTAAATAGACTTTGTTATATTTAAATGTATTCATTCTTCAGTCAATGATATGAAGGAAAGAATAACATTTTTAAAAATGTCTATAGCATACAGATGTAGATATAACTGTCTTTTTTGTCGTTGCCTTTACAGAGGGAACAAATATGAAACCTCCTGAAAATGGAGAGGTCTCCATCATTGATGACAGTTTCACCCTGAAGTGGAACAGGAGCGGTGGATATTTCAAGAATGTGACTTTTTCAGCAGAGTATCAAACGTACGTCACTCTGCTTACCGATTTGCTGAATACTTGTTATAATTTTAACCCGATTTTTTTTTTCAGATTTGGGAAACTTGAGTTTTTCCACTTTTTAAAGAAAATGTATGGCTACTTTGTATAATATTTGTAACTTCATTTCTACAGAAACTTAGTCACAGTCATCTTTGGGCATTGAAGCAAGAAATTTGGAGTGTGAGGATAGCAGACAACTTCTGTAGCCCACTGCCATGCCTTCTCTGTTCTGGATGCTCCAACTTCTTCAGACATAAAGTAGGATCTGACCTAGAGCATGCCTTGAGGATATGAGAGAGTGCCCCTCAAGGCCTAGCTGCAGTCTTGGTATCAGCTGCCAGGCTTTCTTGTATCCCCATCATACACAAAATTTCCATTTTAGATACACGTTATAAACATCAGTATATTGAGCCCTGTGTTCCCACAGACCCAGTGTTTCTGGAGTTTCTGCCTCCTCCCTAGTGCTCACTTTCCAGTTACTGATTGCCAAGGGGACAGGCAGACAGGGAGTTGAAGAAGAAAGTTTACAGGAGGAAATACAGCTCAGGAAGTACAGTAGTTCGCTTTGGGCATTGGAGCCCTGTCTGCTAACCATGATCCCTGTGCAACAAACAGCCTAGGGATGTGGGCAGTGACGAAACAGGGCATAGAACTTCCAGGACCAGGATTCCACTGCATCAACCACAGTCCTGTTGTTCTCCAGTTGACTGTTAGTAGTGTGTGTGTGTGTGTGTGTGTGTGTGTGTGTGTGTGTGTGTGTGTGTCTGTGTGTGCAGTTGATCCTTGAACAATGGCAGGACTTAGGGTGCCAACCCCCAAGCAGTTGGAGATCTGAGTGTGACTTTACAGTAGGCCCTCCATATCTGCGGTCTACCTCCAGGGATTCAACCAACCTTAGATCATGTATTGTAATATGTATTTATTGAAAAAAATCTGCATGTCATTGGACCCATGCAGTTCAAACCAGTGTTGTTCACAGGTCAACTATATGTGTGTGTGTACACGCACACACAGTTTTTCTCGGAATTGATAATTTAAGAATTTTCATCTTTAGAGATTTTCTTTAAATTGAACTTTGAGTTTTGTTACCAATTTTGTTCTTTGCCTTAGTTCAGAATGTTCTTATTAAACAACTGTTTTAAGTATGACAGATTATTTCACATACCTTTGTTTAAAGTTACCCTTAGAATGAAGAACAGAGCCAAGACTGTGCTCTCGTATTCTTGTTCCTTCACGTGTCCTATTGTTTATACTAAACTCTCCAGTGCACAGTAATCTTTTATGCTTCCATTCTGACTTTAGTGTCAGATGCACTGTTTCAATGCGTTCTGACTCTATTCACTTCTCGCTTTATAGATGGTTGCCTTGTAAGAATATGCCAGGCCACAAGTTTAGGGAGTCAGAGTAGCACTTAGTGTGGTGTAGTGTGGCAGGGACTTGAGCCAGGCTGCTTGGGTGTAAATCCATCCTTTGCTACTTTTTCTCTTTATCACAGTTTCCTTATCTGTTAAGTGAAGATAAAAATTAATCTGACCATATGTTATCATTCAAACCAGGATGCTTCTGAGAGTGAAAAGAAGCACTTAATTTTAGATAAGCTGAAACAATAAGCTTAAACCAGGACAGTGGCAGGCACACTGGGCTGGGACATCCCAGTGATGAAGCATCTAACTCAGCAGGTTGTGAGCGTAGCACAATTGTGTATAAATGTGCAGAACAGTAGTGCAGAGTATGTGATCGGCTGAAGTGTAGTTAGTGTCAGCAGCAGACAGACACTTTGCAGTGTAGTCTCAGAACGTAGGACAGACGTCACTGGTGAGAAGTAATACACAGACACATAAATCAGCCGCTGGGGTACCAGTGCATATTGAACACACGCTGTCAAAGACATCAGTGTTCGTGACTTACATCTCAAATTTATTATGCTGTGTGTAGTTTTCATTCAGCAGATACTGAGTGCCTTTTATGCCAAACACTCTGCTGGGTACTGGGAATACATTAGTGAACAGGGGAGACAAAGACGGCATGAAGTTCTGTCCTGAGACTGCTCTTATGAAATGAATTTCATATTGGTTACATATTCATTTTCAGGTTATGTTTCTGCTCTAATCTAAATACTATATATGATAAAGTTTTTTTTAAGAGCATTTGGAGTGGGGCATGCCACTGTGCCTCCTGCAGCAGGAAGGGCAGATGTGAAGTGTGCAGATGGGCTGAATCCATATCAAGGCCTAGTTTTAAATTTTTTATAAGGTTTTCTGTTCATAATAGGAGCTGTCCAGATAAATGGACCAGAGATGCATTACTGGCTTTTTGTCTGTAGTTCCTTTTATTTTGACCCTCCATGCCCCTAATTTAAAGAGGTTTGTGTACTGTACCCGCTTCCCAGGCCTCCTTACATCTCTTATTAATTTCTCTGGAATTAAATTTTCTAATAAATGACATTTGAGAAAAACAAAATCTGAATTTTGGGCTTAGATTTTTAAACCTGGACTTTTTAAAAATAGAATGTGATGTGGAGGAGTTTCTCAGGAAGATTTGCATTTAAATTAAGGTATTATTAATGCCAACTCTAATCTCAGAGCACAGATAGGTAGAGTAGAAGGGGAAGCTGGCCAGGATTGAAGTGTCCCATGTGCTAGAGTATGTTATTGCTAATTTTTTTTAAATGTTTCCTTTTTGAAAAATAAGGTAGACTTGAATTGGAGTCAACACAAAAATTATTTGGATATCATCCGTAGTTTATATTTTAATAAAGAGCACCTTAGCTTTTTATTAAAGATGTTGTAGCATCTTTAAAATGAGGTCTGCAGTATTACCAAAAAAATTAAAGTTAGCTGATGCTAGAACTTTGAATTAGTCCTGACAGAAATGCCTTCTCGGAGGATAGTTTTTCTGCCTGGTGTAAGGCAGACAGAGCTTATCATAGGCAAAAATTTTGAAACCTAGTATCTGTGTTCTGTCCCTCTCCTTCACTTCAGCCTCCTCTCCCTCCTCTGTAGCAACATGACCTCTGTTTCAGGCACTCCATGCCGACTGGATTTCTTCATGTGGTTAAAGAATCTCATCAGTCACTTAAACCTTTTTTTTTCCACTTAAACTAAATCCACTTTGAGAAGTTTATTAGTTTGTGTTAACATTTTAAGTTCTTTGTCTCTAATGATGTAATAGAAGGAATTACGATTTGTAGAAGGAATGGTCTGGATTTGAGGAGAGCAGAGGAAATTCTCAAAGCATGCCAATTCTGAGGTCTTTCTTTGGGCTTGTGAATCTATTCGTAGGAGGAGGTCAGAAGGGAATCATCAAATCCAGTTCCCAAATTTTCAGAAAGGAAGAGAGGATCCCGAATACAAGCAGTGGGCCAGAGGTCGTTCAGCTGTTTTTAACAAAGGCAGCATTAATCCACTTTTACCTTATGGGTTCTTTGTTTCTCTGCTTCTTTGAAATCCTGATGCAGCCACCCACAGAATTATAGAACTGTGTTAAAAAGTTAACTATATGTCAGAATTATTCCATTGTATAAATAATAACTTGGTAGGATATGCATTGAAAAAAAGTGGAATGTTTCCCACTTTAATATTGTCGGAACCTTAGCTCAAGTAGAAGAAATAACTGCTTATATTTGCTTTATAATGTTGATATAAATAGCAAACATGTTTGTCACTTTTTTGTATTTATAATGTTCATTCATTCATTCACTTTTTTATTTTAAAGACCAGGGATGGGTAATTGGAGAAAACTGCTTGGGTGTCAGTATGTTACTCGTACGGAATGCAGCTTTTCTTCACTCCACTTAAGAAGTGTTTACGAAAATATTAAATTGCGCATAAGAGCAGAAAAGGGAAACAGCACTTCTCAGTGGCATGAGGTTCCCCCGTTTGTACCATTTAAAAAAGGTAAGAAAAAGCTGCCAGCTGAATTACATTGTATTCTTTATTAAATGTTACCAGAACAGCTCACTTCCCAGGCCAGTTTATTTGCATACTATAAAATCTTCCATCTTTAAAACAAAAAACAAAAAACAAAGATTCCCTAAAATCTGTATTTCCCTCCTGCTATGGCCACATTTCCCTGCTCTCCCTAGAGTGGTGGTTCTCAAAGTGTGGTCTTCAGGACCCTTTCAGGAGGTCTCTATGGTCAAGACTTTTCCCAATAATTCTAAGACTTACTTGCCTTTTTCATTTTCATTCTCTCTTGAGTGTACACTGGCATTTTCTAGAGGCTGTTTGCTGTGATCTGATGACTGACTGAATGCAAAAGTAGGTATGAGACACATCCGTCTTTATTAAGCCAGACATTAAAGGGACTTGAACAACATGTTCAAACAGCACCAGTCTTCTCACTAAATTTTTTGGTTTGTTTTAGCAAATGTAGTCATTTTTATATCACAAATATTTTTTATCACGTAATGGGTTTATCATTACTATTTTTTAATGAGTTAATAAATATTTTAATTTTTTATCAGTGTCAATGTTTAATATGCTAGGTATTCAGAGACATAGCCCATATAAACAAAAGCTCTTCCAGACCCTCAGTTTCTCTAAGGGATCTTGAAACCAAAAAGTCTGAGAACCACCGCCCTATACCAAAACACATAGAACAGTGATCTGTTCCCCTCTCTGTACTCTTTCTCCCCCTCCCTCTTCCACCTTCTGCTTCAAGCTTTGTTCCCCATCACTGCACTGAAACCACTCTTGCCAGGGTCACTGAGACCTCCACAGTGCCAGGTGGATTCCCAGTGCTCTTCAGGCCCAGTCCCTCTGTGGCATGGGTGTGATTACCACTCCCTTCCTCTTGAAACCCTGCTCTCTAGGGCACTGCGCTTTCCTGGCTCTCCTCTTGCTCCTTGGTTGTTCCTTTGCCTGTTTCTTCTCGTCCTCCAGACCTTTAAATGTTGAGAAGCTGCAGGGCCCAGCCGTGGAACTTCTCTCTACCCGCCCTCCCCTGGGAATCGTATAGCTCTCAATACTGTCTGTCCTCTGGACTCCCCACAATTGTATCTCCAGGCCCCTCCCTTCCCCTTACTTTGACTTGTATCACCAGCTCTCCTCAGCCTCTCTGCTTAGAGGTCTAAAAGTCAGCTCAGATTTAAAAGGGCCAAACAGAGCTCTTGATTTTCCCCCTCCGCCCTGCTCTTCTTGCAGTGTTTTCCATCTCTGTTAATGACATCACCTACTTATTCGCTCTGGCCGAGAGCCCTGGCATCACCTTTGACATCGCTTCCTCACATCCCCCATCCAGTCCATCAGCAAGTCCCGAATGATCAACCTTCAGGGTAGAACCTGCATTGGGTCCCTTCTCACTTCCACCCCAACTCCCAGCCTTTGCCAAGCCACTTTCATTTGTCATAGATCTGCGGTAGCTTCCCCGCTTCTGCACACATTAACCCAGGTGGTCCTTACAAAAAGCGAATCAAATCTCGGCACTCCTCCAATCGCATCCTCCATTGACGTCACAGACTCAAAGTCTTTCCCATTGGCTGGCTTCCAGCTACCTTTGAGCTCATTTTCAACCACTCGGCCATTCGAGCGCCCCCTAGCGTCTCTGGAAAACAGTGAGCCCGTTCCCATCCCAGGGTTTCTGCACTGGGTGCCCCTCAACCTGGGACACTTCTCCCTTAAAGTCGTGAATGATTGAGTCCCTCGCTTTGTTCAGGTCTCAGCTCAAACGTCTCAGGGGGCCTTCTCCTCACTAACTTAGCTAAACAGTTCTTGCTACCATTCTCTGTCCCTTTATGTTAAGTCGTTTTTCTTATAGCTCGCATTAACATACCTAATTTGTTTTGAATCTTTTTTTTTCATGTCTCTCACTTCATGAGGAACTTTCTTTTTTTCATTTGCCAGGCACATAAGTGCTTAGAATTGTATGAATGTTTTGGCTTGTGTTAGTGAAGTTCTATAGTCAATGTTTTGATTTTTACAGCTCAAATTGGTCCTCCAGACATACATTTAAAAGCTGAAGATAAGGCAATAATAATAAACATCTCTCCTCCTGGAACAAAAGACAGTACCATGTGGGCTATGGATCAGTCAAACTTTCTGTATAGCTTGGTTATCTGGAAAAACTCTTCAAGTCTAGAAGTAAGCGTTACTTTCACCTTTGTTTGATGTGAGAGGGAAAAAAATGATGTGAATTGATTCTAAAATTTGACTTTACACTTTTTTAACAAACAGGCTTCTGTTTTTTTAAATTATAGGAAAGGACTGAAAGTGTTTATTCCAGAGATAAAATTTATAGACTCTCACCAGAGACTACTTATTGTTTAAAAGTGAGAGCAGAACTGCGTTCATCAAGAAAAGTCGGTGTCTATAGCCCAGTGTCTTGTATAACTACCACAGGTGAGGAGAGAGTTTTGCTTTAGATTCAATAACTATATACATAGATTGGCATTCTATGAATTTTGGCAGTTTTTCCATCGTTGCTGAAGTTTATATGATGGTTTTATAGATATGAAAACAAGCATTCTAACAGCATGTACATAAGCAAAAAGGTGTTTGAGGGGATTTTTGTCGCAAATTAATAGTGATGAAAATATTTTCTAATGACAAAAACTTTTTATTCAGAATCCACAAAAAGGGGAGGTAGTTGCTAGAGAATAGTTACTCTTCCAAAAAGCATACCTTTAGAGATGAAATGTTAAAATATGAACGCATCCTGATACATTTAATCAGTGACATCTTGCCAACAACTAAGGTTAAGGGAGGGAGCTCGGATTTATTATTTTAATTGTAAATTTAACATGCTTTGTTTTTAAAATCAAACAGTACAGAAAGGCTTAAAGTAAAGGTTTCCTCTCCTGCCTCTTTACCCCCAGTTCCATTGATCAGAGGTAAACGTTGCCAGCAGTTTGTACGCAACGTCTCACACTTTTTTCAGGATTTATATAAACGTATTTGCAGAATTGCAGCTGGGGGGAATGTGCCTTTTAAATTAAGAAATAGGGTCCTGCTAGATTTATTTGAAACTTGCTTGTTTAACCTAATGTAAGGAGGCTCCCTTTTTCATGTTGGTACATGCAGATCTGTCACGTTCTGTTAAATGGCTGCATAGTATTACTGTGCGTATATATACACCATAGCTTATGTAGCTGTTACCTCATAATGAATGAAATGCAAGCCTTTTTATCTTCTTGTCCAGGCTGTTAAGAATTCTAACCATGTGTTATCTCCCTAGAGTAAATGCGTGTGTTTTTCTGTGTATTCTTTGTCTTGCAGTGGAGCATAAACTGCCTTCACCAGAAAATATAGAGATCAGTGCTGAAAATCAGATCTATGTTCTGAAATGGGATTACAGATTTGAAAACATGACCGACATGACCTTTCAAGCTCAATGGCTCCAGTAAGTTCTATTCCATAAACGCCCCCTTGCAGTTTATTTGCCCCAGTTTATTACGTTTCTTTTCACTCTGCTTCAGCCACCCGCAGCTCCTTGCACACATGAGGACTGATGGAGAGGTAGTTAAGACGTATTGGAAATGGGGTACTTAATTCTAGTCCCAGCTCTGCCAGTAATTGACTGGATGACATCGAGCTAATCACGTACCCTCCTTGGGCCTCAGTTTCTTCATTTGTTGTAAATTGAGTGTTTTCTAATAATGTCTAGTGTTCTTGCTGGCTCTTTTTCTTTTTTTCAAAGGTGTGATTCTAGTTGCATGTGTTACTTCCTCAGTCTGGAATAATTGGCATGTGACCCCAGTCTTTACTTCAGAACCCACTTCCTCCATGGGTCCTTGAAATGACCTCAGTCCAGTCACTCTGTCTTGTTCAAGTTAGCCCTCCCATCTTCTGGATTATTTTAGAAGTTTTGGCAGATTTTTTAGTGATTACTTTAGTGGAGAATTAACAGAGTTGGAGACAACTCTGTAGACTGGGTAGAGACTAACCAAATATGAGTGAAGTCTTGGCACCACATAGGTGGAAGAGGACAGCATATAGTTTATATTGACTGGAAATCGTAGGGGATAACTAGGAAGAAGAGAAGAGGAATATGGAAGGTGAAGTGCATTATGGGGAGAAAGGGGTGGGAAAGAAAGAGACACTGAGGGCAGAGGACTAGAAGGACCAAAGGCAAGTACAGGTGAGGCAGGAAGGGAAGAGTGAAAAGAAAGACTAGAAAGAAACAAAAAACGAGGGGGAAGGGAAGTCGATACTGTGATTGATTTCTCTCCATCCTTTGATGTTAGCTTTGAAATAATAAGTTTGTATAATAAGTGCATTTGCGGGCATCTATGCCCCTACACATATGTGTGTGTGTGTGTGTGTGTGTGTGTGTGTGTACAGACCGATCAGGAAACTGTGCAGGAGGTTTTATATGTACTTCACTGTCAGAAGTACATTAAATAATAGGGCCCCAAACTAGACAGGGATAGTGCTTTCTGATGGCTGGTCTCTAAGTTTCTTTTGGGTACTTAGCACACTGTACAAAGCACTGAAGGAATTGTAGAGAGAGAGCAGAATAAAACACATGGTTGTAGAAATCCGAAGAAGTTAGCGCTGATTCTGCGTAGCAAAATGTCATTTAAGACCGAGGAGTGGTACCCAAATTATAAGAAGTCGAAAACGGGGTGGGATGAAGGGTATGGCTCAAGTGGTTGAGCGCATACTCTGCATACAAGAGGTCCAGAGTTCAATCTCCAGTACCTCCTCCAAGCAGAAATAAATGGATAAACCTAATTACCTCCCCCTCATAAAACAAGCAATGCAAGCAAAAATGTAAAGATAGAGGGGGCTGGGGAGACCGAAGGAGCCATTTGGAAGGAGATGTGATGTGAACGAGGCCATGATTGTTGAGTCAGATGTTTTTAAACGACAAGAGAGGGCATCCAAGGCCGGGCTATACACAAGGTGGAGCTCAGGACGTGGAGAGACCAGAATTAGGTGGGCGTAATGAGGAGGTATTCATCTTCCATTGCTCTCTAACACACTGCCACAAACTTAACAGCTTAAAAAACACCATTTATTATCTCTCAGTGACTTGGGGTCAGGAGTCCAAGCGTGGCTTAGCTGGGTCCCTCCCAGGTGTCACTCGGGGCTGCTGTCTCCTGAGCTCATATGGTGGTTGGCAGAATCCATTCCTTGCAGCTGCAGAAATCATGGTGGCCTGCTTCTTGGAGGCCATCAGGAGAGAGAATCTCTGTCCTCCAGACCCTCTTTTAAAGGGCTCATCGGATTGAGTCAGGACCCAATAGCCTCTCATTTGATTAACTCAGAGTCATATGGTTTGGGGCCTTAATTTCATTTGTGAAATCCCTTCACCTTTGCCAAATAGTGTAACCTTTTCAAGAACTCATGGGTTCTGCCCACACTGAAGGGACGGGCATTTTGTCAGTCTTGTGTCCCAGGGATAGGAATCTTGGGGGCCATCTTGGAATTTTGCCTACAAAGGAGGAAGACCTGCTTTGAGAGCAGCAAAATATTTGGTCATGGAAGAGCAATGAGAGAGAAAGTCGAATAGTAGGACGGAATAAGTTAGGCTTAGCCTCAGACTATCCTATAGGTAGGTGGGTGCTATTGGGAGTTCTGTGTGGAGGGGTGGGTGCCATGAGGCCTGTATTCGGGGAAGGTGAAGGTATGTGGTGTGTGTGGTGCAGTGGACTAAGGAGACACCGAGGACAAGGAAGCCAGTCAGGAGGCTGTTGTAGATCCAGGCTAGAACTGAGATGCTTTGAGCTGTTGGTTCTGAGCAGCTTCCTTAACCTCTTCAGGCTCAGTCATCCTCTGTGTAGACTTGGCTCTTACAACACCATGGTCTGTATGTCTGTTACAGCACTTACCCACTGGGGTGCTGGGACCCGCTGAGCAGCTGGCTTCCCAGAAGGGAGGAGCCTTATTTGTAGTGTTTGCCAGTTTTCATAATATGAATACTCCCACCATGGTCTTTCAGCTGCCATCCACCATGTCACTGAACACGGAGTTGGGAAGACACCCAGTAAGCACTCCATCAATGGTGTTTTTTTGCCGTGTAGACACAGTAGACATAAATAGCCTTGTGCACAGATAATAAAGTAGTAAAATAATGAGGACAAGATGAGATTTGAGTATTTATTACTTTTCAATACAATGTACTTATTTGTAAGTTTCTGTAACTTAATTTTTTATAATGGCCATATTTAACAACTAGCCACCAATATTCCTGAAAATTTAGCAGTGGATTTTGTGAGCGGGTACGAGCCAGCTCTGGCACACCACCAGTTCATCACACTCTGGAGCTTTTGTGAACGTCTCTTCCACCGTGTTGAGTTTCCTGAGGGGCAGGACTATTTCTGTCCCTTAGCCCCTAACAGAGTGTCTAGCGTACTGTAGGTACTCAGTAAATGTTTGCTGAATTAATGTGTTCGGAATTTTTAAAAAAAGTTTTTTTGTCTTAAAAGTGCCTTTTTAAAAAAGATTCCTGGGGACCATTCAGACAAATGGAAACAAATACCAAACTGTGAAAATGTCAGAACGACCCGTTGCGTCTTTCCTCAAAGTGTTTTCTCAAAAGGAATTTACTCCATCCGTGTACGAGCAGCGGATGGAAATACTACATCTCTGTGGTCTGAAGAGAAAAAATTTAATACCGAAATGCAAAGTAAGCCAGTAGTTTTTACTTTTACATTCTAATTCTCCAATTTGGCGCAAATTCTTTGGATTATTTTTTAATCGGATTTGAACTGTGTATCTTTACACATTTCTTCTAGCTGTCATATTTCCTCCAGTCATTCACATGAAACTCATTGGTGAGGACTCACTGCGCGTCTCCATCGGGGCTCCAGAAGAGTCTGAAAACAAGTCTGGGTACCAGCTTTACCCACTAACTTATGAAGTTGTTTTTTGGGAAAACACTTCAAATGCTGAGGTAAAAAGACTCTGCAATAAAAGTTTGTAATTTAGAGTTCTAACTGTGATTTGGGTAAACAAAGCTAGAAGTTAAAATTGTAGGGAAATTTTAAAACTTGCAAGACGATGTGATTAACTCAGATATTTACCATAGAAGCGAGCGTTTCTCTGAGTTTTACGTGATAGTTATGATTACCTGCATCTGGGCCCAAGTTAGTTTTTAAAATTCAGATCCTGAGCTCATTCCTACTCAGAATCTCTGGAAGTAGGACTCAGGAATTTGTACTTGTACCATGATTGCCATGGATTCATGAACCAGGGTTTCTCAACACTGTTGACATTTGGGTTGGATGAGTCTTTGTTGTGGGAGCTGCCCTGTGCGTTACAGAATGCTTAGCAACACCTCTGGCTCACCCACTGGGTGCCAGTAGCCCTCCCTCCCAGTTGTGACAAACAAAAATACCTCCAGATAGTGGGGAACCACTGAGAGGGCAACGATTGGCTTTTAGGGGGCAAAAGAATCTTAGCTGTTACAGTGGTTGACCTTCCAGGAGGAAAACGTGCCTCCCAAGTTCAACTTTGCCCAACAAAATCTTACTCCTCAGTATTCAACTTTGTAAAGGGGGAGGCATGAGGAAAACAAACGTCTAAAAAGGCTCCTTAGGGGAGTAGTCATGACAAAAAGGTTGAGAAGCACTAGTTTAAACACTAAAATTCAAAAACCACTGACAGAGCTAATATACAACATCAGATAATCCACGTTATTCCTAGATTACTTTTCTCTGTGGAATTACTAATCGAGGAATCAACTGTGCAGTTGAGTTGGTAAATTCTGTAACTTCATTTTCTGTTGGAAATCTAAGAAAATTCCGGTGACCTGGCTGCTTTCATTTTATCTGAACACACTGTGACCATAGCATAATTTCGCCCTAATGAGTATTACGGCCAGTTCTCTGTTGTCCCTAGGTAAGAAAAACCTAAATTTGTGTCTCACACTGCCAAATCATGTGACCTTAGGCAAAGGTACTTGACCTCTGAGACTTTGTTTCCTCTTCTGTAAAGTGCTGGTGGTCATAGCAACTTAATTTTTTTTGAAAGGATGTTTATAAGGTTTAAAATGAGGCAGTATATATGAAAATACCTGCCACATCGCTTGACAAACAGTAGAGATTCGGTAACTTCTAGTTGCCATCCCGTCCTATGCTGGGTAGTGCATCAATAATTACAATGGTGATAACAACTCAAAGTTTATTGAATAGTCATTATGTATCAGGTACTGTGCTAAGTATTTTATATGAATTGTCTCAGTCATTCATCAAAACAACCCTGCCAGTTTGGCTGATTAAATTACCATGGGATGGAGTATTCGTGACTGCTTCACTGATGCTGGGCTGTAGACAATGGAACATGAGTGGACGTGGTGTGAGCAGAGGCCTTAAGTGCATGATTTGGCTTAGCTCTTGTGCCTCTCCTGTTTGCCAAGAGGAAGGCAAGCTTCATGTGGTGTCTGGGCCACGGTGCATGAGAGACTTGTGGAGCAGGCCTAAGTCTGGTCCACAGCCTCAGTTAGAACTCTCCCAGACAGTGGGGACACTCACAGGGAGAAAAATTAATAGGTTTGGAGCCACAGACTGTTTTGTTACACGGCATTATTTTGTTGTACTTGTAATGTCTTGTTACACAACATCATTGTGACAATAGCTGACTAATACAGATGGGAGTAATAATTTGTCCTCATTTTACAGATCTGGAAATAGGGCCCAGAGAAAGTAAAAACCTTGCCTAAGGCCACATAGCTGTAAGGGAGATCTTGATACAGGCAGTTTGAGGCCAGAACCCCTGCTCTTAATCATTCTGCCACTAAGCAGAGGTCATACAATGGTAATGAAGCCAAATTAGCATGTACTTATAAAAAATTTTGAGTTGTCTTAGGAATACATCATATTATTTTTTTGGCAGCAGCATTTTTAACTTTTGAGTTTGGTTATAAGGTGTTGTCCAAAACAGATATTTCTTAAACATACACCAACTAAGTGTTTGGGACAGGCCAATCTTAGATTGAATATTTAAGGAATTCAGAAAATAGATACTCCCTGTATGATTCCACAGAGTACTGCATTTTATCAATGGTTTACTTATTTTTTATAGAGAAGAGTTCTAGAGAAGAGAACTGATTTTACTTTTCCTAACTTGAAACCGCTGACGGTATATTGTGTCAAAGCCAGAGCACTGGTTGAGAGCAACAGGTGGAACAAAAGCAGTGTTTTCAGTGACACTGTGTGCGAGGAAACCAAACCAGGTCAGGATCTTTTACTGTATCTTTCCTTCTTTAATGCCATAAGACTTAAAAATAATCAATCCATTGAAAATCGTGAAGTAATTTCCTTTTTACTGCAAAGCTATAGAGAGAGACTGTTTTCTCAGATTGTGGGTGTCAAAAGTAGACCTTCAAGCTGAGTCTTTCAGTTTTAGAAAATATTTTTAATACTCAACCGTGTTGTGTTTTTTGCATCCTTTGTATTTCATGCATAGCCGCATAATTATTGTCCTTTTATGATTACTCTTAGCATTTAATGAGACTATTTTAACTGTTAAATGTAATCATTGCTGTAATTATCACTTGGGAATCACTCAATTAGTTCAGCTGTAAATTTTTTTATGTGAGAATGGTATGGTCCCGTTTTGGATTTTACAGTGTCTGGTGTTGACTTGTAGACGCTGAGTCACAGAATGTTTTGGATTGTGTGTGCTGGCTGTGTGTCACAGAAGAGGTGCTAGAGAATACTTCGTGTGGTTGGAGCTCCGTGTCATAGTGTTTCCTTCGCTGAGGGTCTCTTATTTCAGTTCCCTGGCCACTCTTTACATGTCAGGGCGGTTGCCTGCAGCTGCTCAGTGCTACCAGCAACATTTCTCAGGGTGCTATTTAATAGATTTTGTATTTCCTTTCGCATGGCTGTATTCTTTCACATAGACTGTCAGCGCTATTAATGTATTGTGTGTCAAAACCTATACTGATGCTAAACACCATTTATCTGTTTTTAGGAAATACTTCCAAAGCCTGGCTCATAGCTGGAATTTGCACTGCGGTGTTTTGTATCGTCGTCGTCATTTACACTGTGAAAGCCCTCTTGAGATGCGTCAGTTATGTGTTCTTCCCGTCAAGTAAACCTCCTTCCACTATAGACGAGGTATGTTGCTCTTCTTTGTCAACAGCTTGCTGGATTTTTCTTTACAAGAACAGGAAATATATTTGATTTTGACAGACTATAAATGTTTCCTTGATATTCAAAAAATAATACAGACTAGGGTTTTTTTCTTCAGAGTTTCACAAAATTAACTTTAGAAAGTCATTTAATAGGATATAAACGGAATAGTAAGATGTGTCCTCACGCTCATGTTGTATCTGGCAGCTTGCTTGCTGTGGCGTTTCTTTTAATCATTGAAAGCCTTTTTTCACAGAAAGATTCAAACGCTGTCATCAGTGCAGAAACTATTCTGGACAAAAATCACAGAAAAGGAGATAACAAAACATGGGTTTCCTCTCACAGCGCCTCAGTGTTTAGGTTGGCGCTCGTGTGAGGCTGGCACAGTCAGTGACGGCCCTGCCTGGTGGAGACCAGGGCCCAGAAACCACCCTGGGGGTGCGTTCACTTGGATGGGTTCCACTTACCTGCCTTGTTTTGGGTTCCCCTGGGCTTTGGAGCTCCAGGCAGGAAGGTGGGTGGTTGATGAGCTGTGGTGTGTTTGCACTTCCTGGCTCCATGAACTTGAGCACATCTCCTGTGCACCTTAGGCTGTAGAACAGAGGAGCTGACCCCACCTTCCAGTGGAGTTTTGAGGGCACGGGAGGTAAACCAGAAAAGCCTAGCCTTACAGTGCTCTGTAAATATGAACTGTTTTACTCTTTTATGTCTGACTTCTTTAATATCATTTTATCTACCCTTCTTTTCAGAGCTGTTATGCAAAGAACTTGAAACTAGCTAATTATTCTTAATGGCACAGGGAAAATTAATTTATCTCTTGTGCTTCTTCTGGACATTTATGGATTGGATACAAACTTTTTTATCATTTCAAAATAAAATGTCCCCAATCCCAGTGCTCTCCCTTCCCTTCCTCACTCCTCCTCTTCCACCCCTGCCCCGATAGCACAGTGCTCTTCACATAATTACCAAAAACGTAATATTAAGATGAATGTGAACTCCCTAAGGATGGTTTTATTCTAACCATTATAGTGCAGTCAGTTTGCTCTTAGCTCGCTTTTTAATATGCATGCCAAAAAAATAGGCTTCCTAGATTGTAGATGTAAGAACCTGAAGCTCGTTAGATCTAGAAGACTGACTTTTGTTATTTTAAATAATCTTGTTTATATGTTTGCCCTTTTAAATTAGTGTTTCTCTGAAAAGCCACTGAGGAACCTCCTCCTTTCCACTTCTGAGGAACAAACGGAAAGATGTTTTATAATTGAAAATACAAGCACTGTTACTGCAATAGAAGAGACTGATCAAATTGGTGAAGATTACAAAAAATACAGTTCCCAAACTAGTCAAGATTCAGGAAACTATTCTAATGAAGATGAAAACAGTGGAAGTAAAATAAGTGAAGGACTTCTCCAAGAGGAACCTGTGTGACTGGAAATGAACTCCAAAATAGTAGGGAGTCTAGTGGGAGTTGTAGTGGGAGCCAAGCTCCGAGCTCCTCTCAGTAACCATCAAGAGACTATGTGCTTGTGGGGGGAGAGAAAATCATCTTCCGATCATAGGTCCTAAAAATACAGGAAAGCACTTAACTACTTAAAATGAATTTGGAGAAGAGTTTCCTACCGTCTTTTCCTGTGTAAAGTCTTGAGAGACCTGTCATTGGACCTGCCTGGGATGAGATGAGTTAAACCAGAAGCCGCCCGTGTCCTCCGGGTGACATCTGAAGTCCCCGTGCTGTTTTGTGGGTAAGGGCAGGGTTTAGGGTTTGTGTTCTCATCGGCTAATTCTCTCACAGTGTTTTTCAGGGGTTATTTAGAACCTTGGGTCTTTTCTTTGGACACTGAAGTGTAGGCCCTTTGGAAATTTCTTTACAAAAGCCTGAATGCCACTATCACTTGGTTTCCTGAGAAGTCGCTTATTCTGAAAAACAGCTGCAGATACCAGAAGCATGATCCTTCCAACTTTGTCGGGGGAATTCTCTCCGTTTATCCCAAGAGCATTAGCTTCTACATCACAGTTACCTATCCCTTATACCGTTTAGGATTAAAACCAGATCGTATTTTTAAAAAAGTAAAAATTAAAAAGAAAACTGATAGTCTTTTACTATATGTACATCAAAGACTTCTGGATTCAGGACATTAGCACAATAGCTTCTGATTAGAATGTGTAATTACTAAAACTACAGAGAAATGGGAAACTCATTAGAGAAGTTACTGATCCCTTTTAAGACATGGAGTATGTGACATAAGTCACAGTGTATGCAAGAAGCCTGGGGACCAGAAAAGACTGGCAGACTAGACAGAGTGAGAAGCAGAGTAAATCAGGAAGAAAGAAGCAAGTGACTTGCATAATTAGGACAATATCGTGTCTAATCAACTTTTGACCATCAGCGTACTGTGGGGGGTTTGTGTTTATGGCTTACGTGTATCATTTCTAAGCCCAGGCCAGCTTCTCCACCCTGTCTGACGCTGTTCAGGTGTCCCTTCTGCTCAGCCCATGTGCACTCGAGAGAAGCAAGTTGGGGGAGGACATACATAGCTCAGTGGTAGAGCGCGTGCTTAGCGTGCACGAGGTCCTGGGCTCGATCCCCAGCCCCTCCATTAAAAAAAAAGGAAAGAAAAAGCAAGTTATTTCTTCTCTCTGCTGGAGAATCCCTGGGGGGCCAAACACATCTTTGATCTTTCCGGCCAGAGGCATCCGGTTTAAAGCAGATCTTGGTTGGCTCTTCGCTTGTAAAGGCCCCGTCAGTGGGGATTTTCCTCTTAAGGGAGGACATTGGGAACTGGCCAGGGCCCTGCCCCGCCCCGCCTGGCTTTTCAGACTGTCCTTGTGTGGGCCTGTCAGCACTCGGAGCCCAGGATTTGCTGCAGGAAAAGGGCTGTGTCAGACTGGATGTCCATCTTTGCCTTGTCTTCTAGACTGAAAACTGAAATTCCATTCTTCGGTCTCTTCCACATGTAGCTTAATCAGGCTATGCTCACTTACAAGGTGGTAAGTGTTTTTCCTGAAGGATAGTATAGTGCCTCAGTTACAATATTGATAGTTCTTAGGCTGGATGTAATCTAAGAATTTATGTAAAAGATTTGTATTATTACAGCCAGCAATAACATTTACTATTAAAACATAATATAGATGAATATGTATGTAAATGGTGACGGGTCTTAGACCTACACGTTCACACACGATGTGGACCGTTTTCCAGGACTACAGCCATAAAGTACTTACTAACATAGATTCTAATTAGAAAATTATAAATGCTACTCCAGAAATAAACACTTCAGGGTCTGACCAGAAATTTGTAACCTATAAAAAAGTTATCTTTAAAATACGATTTAGAGTTTGTATCTTTCCCTTAAACTGTGACCTTCAAAGCAGCCTCAGATTGCTGTTAAAAATTTGGAGAACTTACAGCAGCTTTTTCTTCTTCCCCACCTGCTCCTTACGTAACCCTTGGACTACCTGGCATGTTTGTGTGTGTTTCACGTGGTGTCTGCCCCACCTCCCCGCCCCAGGAGACCAGAAGCCCTGAGAGCAGAGATTTCCTTTTATTCATTTCTGTAGCCCGAGCACCCTCACACGTAGAAACACAGACAATAATAGTTCTCAAATGACCGAAATCTAAAAGTTGAACCAAGTAGGTGTTTCTGACACTTTGTATGTCTTGTTGAACTGGAGAAGAACATACCCGTATTTCCAATGTTTTTATTCAGTGAACTTTTGTATCTTACTTCATTTGCGTTTTTGTCTTAACCCAATTTGCTATTTGTTAAACAGTTTTTTACAATAAACGTTCAGGCCAGAAGCCTTGGATTTTGTGGTGGTTGTGCTTGAATTGATTAAACTTCTGTGCATCACAGCTACTGCAACGAATGCCTTCACGAGGTATTCACAGCAGGGCTTCTGGCCGCACCTGGTGTGGCCGTGTCCGGGGTTGGGATCCTAAAGGACTCACCGCTGCTGTCACCGGCCCATGGAGCTCCCAGTCACGGACCCCTCTTGCTGGCTCTTTGCTTTTTCACCTCTGCTTAAGACTTGGCTGGAGCACAGCCTTGACTTAATGGGTTTGCAGTGGTGTCGCAGACCCTGCTCTCTCAAATGTTCCTTCTACCATCATTTCTTCTCAGGATAAGCTCTTTTGAAGGAGACTCACCAGTCCCACATTTAAGTAGATCTGCCATCCAGATATTTGAGTCTGAAGTTAAAACACCATTGACATTCAAGCTGGGAACCCTTCTAGAAGAGTTTGTGTTTTTAGTAAGCTTCCTCAAATGTTTTTTTCCAAAATGTACAGGGAAGTAAATATTTTAAATTCATCTCCGACGCCCAAGAAATGCCCTGTTACTTAACAATAATGACAGACACCACTAACATCCAGGTTCTTCACTTCACCTGAGGGAAAAAAGGCAAGAAGAGAGAATTTGATACATCTTTCATGCAAAGGGGATACCAGTTTCCTGCTCTTTCAGTGTTCTGTCCCTGCTTAGAATTCATGTTTTAACAGATGTCTTCTCAATGAAGTAATTGACACAGACCAAGAAAAGAAAAAGTGAGCAGAGCAGATATTCTGGCTTAGAAAAAGGTCTTGGGAAGAGGGAGGAAATGAAAAAATGACATCTCGTGATAGCAGACTTAAATTGAACATTTCTTCTCACAGAGACTCTCACCGCTCCCACCCCCGACTCCCAACCCTCCCCCACCAAATTTCCTAAATCCATCAGAGAGGAGGGAGCTGAGGGGAAAGTGAATGACTGAATCAGAAAAACATTTTCCTATCTCTCCAGTAGAAAAATGGCCTATTTTTCCAAAAGGCTGGAATTAGTCCTTAAATATGTAACAAATATAGCGTGTCTTTTTGCATACTTGACTCTCTTGTCCGTTCCCAGATTTTATGCTTTAATACTCTGGAATTTAACATTTTAAAAGATACGGTTATGAGTTTTTAAGAACAAAGGGGTGTCATTCACTCTGCAGTCTTCCTAGAAGACCACCATGTACACACATAGAAGTTGCCTTTGTGCCCATATGTACCTATACGTCTGTCCAGCTCGCTCCCGAGGAGAGATTTTATAGCATTTGCCAACATAGATCCCCCTCTGCTAGGTGGCAAGCTCCATGAAAGCAAGGACTATCTTTTCTTTTTTTAACTTTGTAGCCAACACTTGGGAAGTGTTTAATAAGTGATTAAGCCAAGCATTGTATTACATACTTTGACTGGATTCGCCACTAGAGGGAGGCAAGTCGCCCTATTTAAGTTCACAACTAGCTGGTATTTTGGAAACAGATTCCTGAATGGCTGTGTCATGAGGAAACAACGCGTAGCTAAAGACTATGTATACCGTTTAGAGTGGCTAGATTTAATGTGCAGCCAAAGGCTGTGTATGCTGTTTAGAGTGGCTAGATTTAACAGAAATACAGGACACCCAGTTCAATTTGAATTAAATTTTAATCTCAGGTAAACAGTAATTTTTTAGTATAAGTGTGTCTCAAATATTGCACGGGACATCACTAAAATTTTGTTGTTGTATAATGCTTTGAATAGTCTGGCATTTTACTTAAAGAAAGAAATGGTTATGATTTTTTTTTAATATGAAAGTATATTGTTCCCTCTTCGAAGTCTTCTAAATGACTTCTACCTGTAAACATGGAGAAATCTTTGTGCCCCATCTAATCTCAGATGAACAACAAAAACCTTTTTAGCGTACATCCCATGCAGTATTTGGGACGTACTTACACCAGAACATTATCCATCTGTTTATGTGAAACTCACATGTTACTGGATGTCCTGTATTTTAATCTGGCAACCCTGGTAATGTGAGCTTTAAAAAGTACTGTTAGGCCCTCCCAACCCCCCAAAACCAATATAAATAATGCTTCATACAGAAATTTATTCTAGCTCCATTACATGGAACCTGTTCTTGTTACAACTGCAAACAGTGGTTAAGAGAGTGAATATTGCAAGCATTATATAGCCAGGAAAATAAATTCCAACCTAATTCTGTCCCAAGGAGGCAGCACTGAGGGAAACATCTCCACGCTGTGGGGGTGCGGGCCTTTCTAGGGAATCTGGCCTCCTGCCAACCTCCCCTCATTGGTCAGCCGGTTCTGCTCACAGTTACTCGGAAGCTTACCTTTCCCACCGGACTGTGAGCCAACTTGAGCTCAAGGGCTTTGTTCCTTTGTCTGATCCTCAGGCCAAAGGGTGCCTGACATACCGTGAGGAGTTGTTCAAAGAAAGGGTCTGTTGAATTGAAATGGATTCACTGTTTTCTTTAGAGTTATTTCCTTCAGACCACTCTCCAGGGCTAGGATTACTGGTCAAAACGCAGGAATATTGACAACTCTATCTGCTGCCTTGCGTGTATTTGTGTGTGTTTCTTTCTTGCCTCCTAGACTGCCCTCCTTTGAGGCAGGGACAGCCTTTTACTCTTACTTTTCTCAGCACCTCCATGTACTGACCTCTTACTAGGAGACCAGTAAATCCACTGCACTCTGTGCCAGCTTAGGACAAGGACCCATGGTGCATCCTTTTGCTCAGACCAGAAACTTACGAGGAGTCTTTGACCCTCCCTTCCTCCACACCTTATCCAATCCATCCTCAAGTCCCGTCCACTCCATCTTCTCAATCACTCTTAACTCCTTCCGCTTCTACACCCATTGCCCCCGCCCTGGGCTACGTTGCCATCCCACCTCCTCCCTGGTCCTGCTCCTTGTCTGTCCTTCTCCAAGTTATTCTCGTCACAGGAGAGTGGCCCCTTGAAGACAATACTTGAGACGTATTAGATGTCTTTCCGTTGCCCTTGGATTAAGCCCCAAATCCTAACATGTCTCCTTTCTCCAGCCCAACCTTCCCAGCTTTACTCCTGTTCCTTGAACTACTACTCTCTAGGTTGTGTCTCCCTGCTGTAGCCCCCCCACCCCCCCACTCCCTACTTCCACATCACCCTAGAAAGTACTCGGATAATGAGGAGGGTAATAGGTCAGTGTTAGGGCACAGGCTTGGCATGCACAAGGTCCTAGTTTCAATCTCCAGTACCTCCACTAAAAAAAGAATAAGAAAAAGGAAATGAAAGGAAAGGAAAAGAGGAAGAAAGGAAAGGAAAGGGGAAAGAAAGATAGAAAGGAAGAAAGGAAGAAAAAGAAAGAGAAAGCAAGGAAGGAAGAAGGAAAAGAAAAGAAAGAGAAAGAAAGAAAGAAAGAAAGAAAGAAAGAAAGAAAGAAAGAAAGAAAGAAAGAAAGAAAGAAAGAAAGAAAGAAAGAAAGAAAGAAAGAAGAGAGAAAGAAGGAAAAAGAAAGAAAAAGGAAGGAAGGAAAAGGAAAAGGAACAAACAATTATTAATTAAAAGAGAGGAAAAGTACTCAGATAGTGACCTCTCCCCTACTAGACTGCCAGCTCCTCGCAGGCAAGGACCTGACAGGCCTGCTCAGTACAATCCCAGTGCTCAGCATCCTATCTGGTACAAGGTAGAGCTTAACACATGTTTTTAGATGAATGAATGAATTACATGCCTTTACTTGGACCTGTGAATCCACCAAAAGGCCTGGAATGAAAGAAACTGGAAAATCCAGGACAAAGCGGTCCAGGGAAGGGACAGGTCTATTCTTTTTGATGTTGTTGTAAATGGAATTAATTCCCTAATTTAATTCATTGCTAGTGTAAAGAAACAAAATTACATCTATCTGTCTATCTCTTGTATCTTGCAACCTCACTGAATTTGTTTGTTAGTTCTTACAGGGCTTTTTTTTTTTTTTTTTTTGGTGGCTTCCTTAGGATTTTCTGTATACAAGATTTTATCATCCGTAAATACAGATAGTTTTACTTCTTCCCTTCTAATCTAGATGCCTTTTGTTTGTTTTCCCTGCCCGACTGCCCCAGCTAGAACCCCCAGTACAAGGCTGAGCAGAAGTGAACAGTGTCCTGTTCCTGACCTTGGGGAGAAAGCTGGTGGCCTTTCACCATTCGCCATGGGACTTTCGTGGGCGCCCTTCATTAGACGGAAGAAGTTACTGTCTACTCCTAGTTTGTTCCGTGTTTTTAGTTTTTATTATGATAGGGTGTTAGATTTTTGTCAAATGCTTTTTCTGTGTCTACTGAGACCATCTTTTTTTTTAACCCTTTATATTATTAAAATAGCGTATAACATTGATTGGTTTTTGTATATTAAACCAACCTGCATTCCTGGGGTAATTCTCACTTGATCATGGGGTATAATTCTTTTTACATGTTGCTGGATTCCACTGGCTAGTATTTTTTGAGGATTTTTGCATTTATATTCATAAGGAATGTTGACTTGTAGTTTTCTTCTGATGCCATTGTCTGGTTTTGGTATCAAGGTCATACTGGCCTCGTAGAATGAGTTGGAAAAGATTTCCTTCTCCTCTATTTTTTGGAAAAGCTGATGAAGATTTGGTATTAATTTTTCTTTAAATGCTTTGCAGAATTCTCCAGGGAAGCCATGCTGACTTGGTCTTACATTGTGAGAAGTTGGATAGTAATTGGCTTCTTTGGTGTTTCCCAATATTGACCATTTTTAAATTATAATATTCCTTAAGTACGTGTGAATTTAAAACTGAATATAATCTTCAGTTTGTAGCTCTCATACAACCACAAAACCAAATCAAGTTTATAAGTGAATTCTAATCAAAACTGTAAAACAATAAAATTAAAGCAAAGAATATTAATCCAATATTTAGAATAATGTTATTTGTTAAAATTAAATTGCCACTGGCAGAATGAATCTAAAGTGAAGGTTCTTATGAGCTCAGCATGGCTTGTCTCCCGTGTACCCTATAATGAACCAATTTAGTATGTA